GAGCATTTTACTTCAAGATGAAATAGAGTGTAAAGAAATAGCACTCCTGACAAATGGTGACATTATTCAGTTGTTATATAATATCGCTCGAAAAATGAAACTACTTATTTGTGCTTACAAGGTCGCACATATATTTCATACACATATACATAAATACATACTCATAGATGTCTGAGAGTATATATATATATATATATATATATATATAAGAAATACATTCTGAAAGTGCGCATATGACATCAATACGCGCCCGCCGTACAAACACACATGCATGTTTACAAGTGTACATTCTTAAAACAACTCTAACTCACACGCATATATATATATATATATATATATATATATATATATATATATATATATATATATATATATATATATCCTGCACACTGATACATAATTATCCCACGTGCATCTCTATCTCTCCTATTCCTCAAGCAAGAATATTTTTACACTCTTCCACAATTTCACACATATGCACATATGTGTGAAATGTATATTTGTTTATATTTTGAATACATATATATGCCGGATCGTATACACACACACACACACACACACACACACACACACACACACACACACACACACACACACACGCACGCACACACACATATATATATATAATCTTTGAAGACATACACTTATACAAGTACGCACACGATTAATTATATGTGTATATAATTCACAAAATGTATTATTTTTTTCTATTTTTATGCTTTCCTTTACGCAGCTGAAACACACACGCACGCACACACACACACACACACATAGATATATATATTAATCATTTCGCCCCAAGGAGATAATGCCACTAAGACGCAAGGTGTTTACTCTGGGTGAAAAAGAATGAGCAGAAAGGACAATAAAAGAACATGAAAATATTTGTAGAACAGACAGCGGGAGGGCACGTCACAGTGGTTGGTAAGTAAGTCGAAATGCCAGGTCAGGACCGATTACATTACAGAGCCTTCTTTGTATTTTTTCAAGAATCTTGTGATATACAGCATAGGCACCAGACCAGATATTGCATTAATATTCTATGAAAGGATCATTGGTACAGTTATAAATGTGTAAGATTGAATCTGACGATAATAATTGTCTGGTACGACACAGTGAACCAACTTTCCTAGCAGCCGACCTAGCAATTCATTCAATATAATCACTCCACTTCATGTCACCGGAAAGAAAGAAAGAAAGAAAGAAAGAAAGAAAGAAAGAAAGAGCAAAGATTAGCTTTCGAGATTCTTGACAACATCGAAAGAAAGGTCTGTAATGTAATCGATACTTACCTGGCATCACGACTTCAGTCACATTCCCACCTATTTGACGTGGTTTCCCTCTATCTTTTTTATAAATATTTTCATGGCCATTGTTCTGATAAGGTTTCCACCTTGGTATATCGACTGTCTGAATTTAGGCCTACTACTAGATTGGCAACTAGATTTCACCGTGCTGATAGAAGACAAAAAGATTCTCTATGGTTAAATTATAGCATTTTTGTTTTGAGTGGTGGTGGTGGTGGGGGGTTAAAATTTACAAGTCATTCCTTGCTCCAGTTAATTATTGATTGAGGTCATATATATATATATATATATATATATATATATATATATATATATATATATATATATATATATATATATATATATATCCATATATAAATATATAACTCCTAAAAATTCTTCCAACATATACCTCCCAGAAAAACCTCTCACATTAGTGTCAATGGTTTCTTTTAGCTAATGTCTTACCATTATGTGGGCGGTATTTCTACCGTACTCTTTATATATATATATATATATATATATATATATATATATATATATATATATATCAATTAATTTCTTTTTAAAATATGATTCCATCGCGACACAAAAATTTCTGTTTCAAAACTGAAACTATATTTATAAATTCAAATATAAAAATTAAACTTAAAATCCATAGTTTTCTTTCATTGTCAAGCGATGTTATACTTTTTCACTGATCTTTTAATATCATAGTCTCCAAGTTTATATAGTCTCAAACACTGTGTGAAAAAATATGTGGAATTAAACATGCGTTTAGCAATCTAAATTTAACTGATGTTAAGCTGACTCTTCATTCTAGAATTTGAATCACCACATATTACATGAATAACGAGAAACAGAACCAACAGGAGAAGACAACTCGTTTTTTTGTATTGCTTTTCTCTTTCTATACATTCATGATTTACTCAATGATCATATTCTTTCTCATTTTCCATTTTTATTCTTTCCTATTTGTCATATCGCCTATTATTCATATCGACTGAATTCTATTCCAAAGAGTATAAAAGATATTTGCAGTTTGATATGACCTTTCTATTGTGACGTGCAAAATACTTATTTTAAGACAGAAATTCGATCGCAATTCAACTTAGGATGTCTCATCAGTAAGCCCGTAGCGAAATGTGAAAAGTATTTATTCTATACAGCAAATCTTATTCAATATAATTTGTTAATGCACTTAATCCACCGCTTCTCCATTAAGTACCTTAACATTATACAGTGAATATTTTTTATCCAATTTCAGCTAATATCTGCCAGGTTACGGACTTACTAGTCTGGTCTCATAGATTTAATCAATCAAAGGGTTGACAATATACAGTAAAATGTTTTCTATTTAAAAAAAAAAAAGAAACAATGTATATACTGTATAGGACATTTTTGGTAACTAAGGATGCTAAAGCTGTGAGCTACGATGTGGTTTCAAACAAGGAGGAGGCTTATACTTAACATCAGGAAGAGGCAGCTGAAGTTTCTGGGACATATAATGAGGAAGGAGGGCCCGGAGAATCTGATACTCACGGGTCGAATAGTGGCAAAGGGAGACAAGGGAAAACAGCTCGTGACATACCTGGCGGGTTAAAGCAAGTGGATAACAGAACGTGGTCTGAGGGAGGAATCAGAGGGAGGTGGAGAGCCATGATCGCCTACTTCCTGAAATAGCATGGTAGTCAAGATATTTCTGACTAAATATTGATTGAACATTATACAGTGAACTTTCAGGTCAAATGTAATTCAGTAGGTCTAATGATAAAAATAAACATTTATTTTATGCATACACTATCTTTCAACATAATCTCCTCCCTTCTCGATGCACTTAATCCTCACATAGATTGAATTTTATACAGTAAAAAATTCAGATCATTATTAATTGAATAACTGTCTTAATCTACGAATGTTAATTCAACCTTGTATACATATATGGTGAAAGAAGCACGTATCAAATTGCCTACTCCTGTCCTTTAATGTTGGTGTGCGGTACTGGTTAGAGGGTCTAGTCGGATTGACTAGGAGTCAGTTATGTGCCATGCGTGATACACGCTTAGGCGATCATGTATCTTTCGATACATGACTGACAAGGTAGATTTTTTTCTGCAGTAGGTTGCCATTTCTTTCTTCAGTAGACCAGTTGTCATCCAAGGCTATAGAACCCGGTCTGTCCTGATATTTACCCATAGCTGGGGACAGCGGAGAAGAAGAAGCCGCTATCTATTACTCCACCGTGACCATTAGTTGTGAATAATATACTCACTGGGTGTTTTCATAAAAATTTCTACATTAAGTAACCCAGTATGGGTTGACATGTCATAAAATCAACCAACGAACATTTAATATTTTTTTCAGAAAAATTAATGCGAACAAATCCTTTCCTCTTCATGTTACCAATCAACATTATTATTTCAATTTGTTGTATCCTAGTGTCAGAATCCATACTTCTATTTGTTTATTACGTCTATTCTGTTACCTTGTTCTCGTAATCTGTCCGTAGCATGACCCGTCTTTGAAAATATGAATACTACATGAGTGGTAAAAAACTAGTGTCGTAATTTTAATTTAGTGCGAAGAACCAAAAATATATTTGAGGTTAAAACTAATTTGGACTTGATTCTCATTTCAGATTGCCTTAAACTTCAAAATGTGAAGATAAAAAGGCGGTTAGCAGTCGCGTTCATAGGTTATGAATTCAAACACAATCTAATTCAACCCAGTTTCTCAATGACAGTCTTAAGTAAAGATTATCGATATGTTTCGTCAGATGATTTAAATGACTCAAGTTAACTTACTACCCACAAGTTCATTAATAATTCTTTTATACCATACTTGACACTGAAACGAATTTTCAACAAGATTGACATTAACTTGTCACAGCCAGTATTTATCTACTAACAACTTTAGATTACTTTTTTACAACTTGAGAATTGAAAAATGAAATAGTTTAAGGAAATATCTACAGTAAGCCCAATACATATATAAACATTGCTCTCAATATTATTGGTTTCAGTTAATTGCGGTCATCCCGAGAAAGAAAGTTTTTTTTTTTAAAATAATGATCTCAAAACACGAGCATAGTGATGCTGGCAACTCACATAAGCCAAAGAGAAACTGTCAGATGCTTTCTTTAAACGAAAAGGTAAATTAGGAAAAAGAGATTGCTAAGACTGTTAAGATCTACGGTCAAAATATTCACCTAGCATGGGAGAAATTAATGAAGAGGAAACATGAGACAACAGAAATGTGATTCTACAGAAGGATGCTGAAAATACCATAGAGAGAACATGTAAGCAACGAGGAAGTTTTAAGGGAAACAAAAAAGGATTATTATGCATAAAATCAAAAAGTGACAGCTGAAATATCCGGGACTTATAATGAGGAAACAGGGTTTAGAAAATTTGACATTCACAGGACATATTGAAAGCAAGATTGATTAATTGATTTGTTTTTACGGTTTACCGACTTTTTCAGGTCATTTAAAGTCATAAAATATTTTTAGATTGTAAACATTTTTTTGTTGAGATAATAAAGATTTAATGGTACAAGTCCTACTAATTAACCTATAGCTGGGGGGAAAAGAGGTGAGTTCTTAACTTGTCCATGGGTATTTTCGTGTAAATGAATACAACGAACTCGACTCGAATTAGGTTATTCGATTTACAATTCTGAGCATTAATTCATTACAATATTGGCACATACTAGCTTACAGCACCTGGTATTCCCAAGCAGTCACCCATCTAGGTACTGACCAGACACGACGTTGCTTAACTTAGGTGAGCGTACAACACCTGCTATTTCAACGTGATATGACCGTAAGCCTTTAAAGGCAAGAGGAAAACAGAGACTAACCTATATAATGAGCTTGTGCAAACGGATGGCAGAACAGAGACTGTGAGGGCTAGTAAAGAGACAAACATTACTTAGGACTGCGAAGGATAGGAAGTTGTGGAGTACCGTGACTTTCTACATCCTGAAGAGATACGGAATATAAAAGAAGATATAAGTTTATAAAGAAACTTCTACCCGTTACATAACTTTTATTACAGTATATTGTTATAATTGTTCTATTTTACTGTTAGTTTTTGTTATTAACCTCTTTTTATGCATGCTTTATAAACGAAACTTTATAATTATTATATGTGGATGAAAAAGACGTAGTAAGTATAGGATTCGGTACTATCCGCGATTTCAGGCATCAGCTGGTGAGCCTTAGAACAAATCTTTCGCGAATAAGTGGAGGGGATGCTGTATGTTTATTCGTTCTTGAAAAGGTATATCTAACATATGCGCGTCAACAAACCCACATGCCCGAACCTATAATTGTGTTTACATTTATTTGTAGATAGACGTGCTATAGTAGATAGACAGGCTGATTGACAAGCAGGCATGGATATTAGAGAAACAGACATATAGAAACGGATCTATCTATCTATCTATCTATCTATCTATCTATCTATCTATCTATCTCTATCTATCTATCTATATGCAGATAGATAGTGTGTGTATGTCTGTGTATATAAAGAGATAGAGAGAGACAGAGGTGAACGAGAAAGATTTTTCTAAGTAGGTCTAACCTGTACTTCTCAGATTTAATGTTGGGCGTCCTGCCAACTACATAGCCGGCATTCCACGCCTCACTTCACTCTAACACATTGCACCACTCGACTAGTAATGGACACCAGAGAGTCAGAAATGTTGTGGGGGTGAGAATAAGAAAGACAAAATATAAAAGAAGAAAGAGAAAGAGAAAGTAAAAAAAAAAGTGTAAACACGAGGTGATAAAAAGTGTAGAAAGAGAATATAAAGGAGTACTTGAGAGAGAGAGAGAGAGAGAGAGAGAGAGAGAGAGAGAGAAAAGAAAGAGAAAAGAGAGAGAGAAAAGAGAGAGAGAGAGAGAGAGAGAGGTGGGAATCTAATGAGTCTCGAGAGAAGAAAAAAAGAAAAGAAAAGGGAAATAATACTAGAGGAAAGGTGGCGAAAAATGAAGCCATTTGAACAAAATTTATATAATTGACCCTTGTATATAAAATGCATGTCTCAAATAACGTTTATTTTTAATTAATGTTAAACACATATGCACACACAGACGTACGGTGCGCATGTATAAGCTAAAAGTTGTGTATCACAGGTCACCACACACATATATATATGCACACGAGAGTGCGTTAATATGTCTGCAATGTTACACATTTTTATCGTTATTTGTTTTTATGATAAGAATGTTATTAAAAACTATTACTCCAGTCGAACAAACTAAATATATATATATATATATATATATATATATATATATATATATATATATATATCAATTTAATTATCTACTACAAAAAAATTCAAAACAGCCAACCTCATCATCAGCAACAACAAACTTCTCTAGCGAAATCCAAACTATACAGGGCCAGAATTCAAATGACCCTTTTGGAACTGTGCTTTTGACGAAAACAAATAATTACGTCGCATATACCACTATTCGCTTATCAAATGACTGATCTTATATCATTCGGACCGATGCTCCATAAGCACCCATTTAAACCAGCATAAAAACTTAGCAACTTTGATACACAATTTACTCGTCGAAAATACAAACTCAAACTGTAAAAAACAACGCATAAAACCAACAGAAACCCTCCTAATAATAATAAAAAAAAAACTCAACATCACCAACTATGAACACGGACACAAATTTAGTCCTATTCAGTAATTAAAAACATACTATTTTTCAGCAACTCACGCAATATCACAAATCCTTGAAAATGGCTAATAGATTTGTCGAAAGTGCTCGGAAAGAACAATCATTTGGACAATTTCTAAAGAAATTAAAGGGAATTTCTTGTTCGCACACAAGAAAAATGCAATAAAAATCAACAGAACTTATAAGTTATTTTAAAATGATATTAGAAAACGACAATTGAACACTTTTGGTTTGCTTTGTTATGTTGCTACCACAGAACTATTCGGTCAACTTATTCTACGGTCATATTCAGGTGAATAAGAAAGTTCTCTTTTCATTCTCTTTTCACCTAACTCAATGTCGACAAAAAGTTTCTTTTCCCTTCCGGATTATTAACCCGAAGAAATCTGTAGTAACAGCAACAGCGCAAAAGAGTTCAATTGTCTGAACAAATCCGAAAGCGTTACTGAATCTTTTCGAAATTATAGGCAATAAAATCCTTCAATATTGTCAACATTGGCACGTGGTACCTTCATAAATCAAGTAAAAGTTTGTTTTTTTTTCTTATTTTCAGTAACTGTGAGAATTTATGGCTGGTAGCGTATAAGTGTTTGTCTGTCCATGTTTTGGTATTTAATCAGCTTAGATAAGTCTGGCACAAGGGTAAATATGTGAAACATTAAGTGAGGATCGAGCTCGCTACAGTAGTAATAGTTTGCTACGTTAGCTTCTTAAACGATTTTGTAATGTTATCTCCCTTCAGGATGTAAGCGATCATGACTCTCCACAAATTCATTTTCTTTATTATTTGTGTCCCTCAATACTTCTGATCTTATGAAAATTAGTAGTGTTTCCCGTTGGTTTTTCCATGATTTGGGATTCATAGTTTGCCTCATCATAAGCTGGTTGTCACCAAGGATAAAGAGTACAGTCTACTCTACATGTATTATGTATTTTTCTCAGTACTTTGAGATAATGAACCCTTTATTAGATTTCATATATTTTCCTTGGTCACTTTGCAGTTAGTAGTTGGGTTTAGTTAGTAGATGGCTTACAGTAAAGTTTATTAATGTCTTTATTCAATTTACATGTACATCTACTGGCTTCTGTAAAGTTAGAAAGAGTATAAAGTTCACAAAGACTATAAAATGTTGAAGTTTAATCAAAACTACTAAGAATTTTGTGATTCATGATCTTTATATTGACGCAAATTAACTCCTATAAGAGAGCGCATGTTAATTACTAAGATGCTCGCTAACACTACTCAATGGATTTTGCCTTTTCTATTCTTCCACGGTGGAGTAATGGATAGCGGCTCGGATTGAGGAATCGGTGAGCTGGGCCCGAATTCCAGTCGAATCCATTACGTTCACTTACGTGCTAATACCCTTGGGAAAGATATGAATCCTATTCTTCTCCCCACCAGCTATGGGTAAATACCAGGACAGACCGGGTTATATAGCCTTGGATGACAACTGGTCTAGCGCAGAAAGAAATGGCAACTTACTGCGGGAAAAAATCTACCTCGTCAGTCATGTATCGAAAGATACATGATCGCCAGAGTGTTTATCACGCATAGCACATAACTGAATTATTTTCAAAAGAAACCTAATTCAGTGTGATTAATTTTTTTAGGCGTTTTATGCTGATTGATTTTAGGCTTTATTGACTGTGATGTTAGACGAACGTGCAAAGAGTATCTTATAAAATTACTTTTTCATATTTTTTGTTCTTTCTGGTCTATTTTTTAATGGATTCTAACGAGGTAGATTTTTTTCCATCAGTAGGTTGCCATTTCTTTCTGCGCTAGACCAGTTGCTATCCAAGGCTATAGAACCTGGTCTGTCCTGCTATTTACCCATAGCTGGAGGGGGGGGAGATAATTCATACCTTTCCCAAGGGTATTAGCACGTAAGTGAATGTAACAGATTCGACTGGAATTCGAACTCAGCTCTCCGATTTCTCAATTTGAGCCGCTATCCATTACTCCACCGTGCTACGTGTGCCATTAATAAATACAGACCAATTCATATGAATTTTCCCAACTACAATTTATGGCTCTAAGTATCCTTGTAGTGTCTTTAGTTTCGTAACGAAACCATGTCTTTGAATTTTTCCGTTATGTTTTAATCGTATTTTAATAACTTTTTTTTTTTTACTTTATTATTGGTTTTATGATTGTGGTCACTTGTATATTCTTCAAAGAATTGCCTGGATATTTGTTAAAAAAATATCAGTGAATATTTTTAAAGAAAATTTCTTGCTAATAGACAAAAGCTGAAACTGTTAAAAAAGAAGTAGAAATTTGATATTTGCAAATACTAAAACTAAACAAGTGAAGCGAAAAGGAAAGAAGAAATTACAATAAAGAACGAGTTATAATGAAAGACAGAAGGAAAAAGAAAAGTGAGGAGAGTAGGATGGAAAGAAAAGAAGAAGAGAAAAGGAAGGAATAGAGATAAAAGGAAAGAGAATGAAAAGGAAAGAAAAGAAAGGAACTGGGAAGGAATCGAAGAGAAAGAAAAAGAGATAAGAAACTTTGCAAAGAAAAAGGTAATTGCGAGAGGGAGAAGGTTAGAAGAATTGGTAGGAAAAGGCGAGAAGTGAAAATAAAAAAAGGTAAAAAATAATGAAGCAATGGATAGAAAATGGAAGAAAAAAGAGCAAGCAATAGAAAAAGAAGAGAAAGAGGGGGAAGAAACGAAGGGCCAAACAACAAGAGGTGTGAAGAAAATGTGAAGACGGTAGGCAAGTTGCAATGGCCGAAAGAAAAGAGGAAGTCGAAGTGTAAGGTAAGATGGTTGGTTGGTTGTAGAAGAAAGAAAGAAAGAAAGAAAGAAAGAAAGAAAGAAAGAAAGAAAGAAAATACAAGGAGGCTGGTAGTCAGACCATTATGGGAAATGTTATGGATAGGAGAACGGACGAGATCTTCCGAACTTTCTATTTTAATCCAGAAGGTGTGGGCTAGAAAATAGACAAGAACAATATAAAGCGTAATACAATCTATGAATATTTATCTAACAATTGTTAGCAAAGAGGCTTAGCTCGAGGTGTAGGTAGATAAAAATAAATAAATACCGTCCCAGCAAGGTCACTCAGCATTCTTCTCTTTCTATGTGCCGTGTCCGTTTAGGACTTTGGCGATCACAGCTCTCCACAACTTCTTATTCTTTGTAGCTCTTCTTAATGTTTCATCTTGCTATCCCTCCCACTCCCTGTTCTGTCCGAAATGTTTACTTTAATAGAACGAAAACAAAAAATCCAGATAATCTCTCTTCTTAAAAACTAGCATCATATAAATATCATTTCGGATAGGATTTTAATAGCACATCATGTCAATCTGTATGGATTATTTATTGTTAAATTTATTGTTTTTCTCTTGTTATAACGAATGTTTAAGAAATGCCGGTGAAGCGTAAAAATAATAACTGTTCTTCTTTTATGTAGTGGGTTCATTTAGGACGTGGGCGATCGTGGCTCTCCACAACTTCCTATCCTTTGTTAGCACTTAGCAACGTCTATCTTTTTTACTAAGCCTGCCAATATCTCTTCTGTTATCCATTTAGACAAGCTTGTTAGGTAGGCTACTCACTTTTTGTTCTCTTGCCTTCAACATGTCCTGGGAGTGTCAAATTATCCAGGTTCTCTATTCTCAAAATATGTCCCAAACATTTCAATTGTTTTTTTCTTATTCTAAAAATAAGTCTTCTTTTTGTTTCCATTCTCTTTAAAACTTCCTCATTGCTTACATGCACCGTTCATAGTATTCTTAGCGTCTTTCTGTAGAAACACATCTCAATTGCCTGAAATGACTTTTAGAATTATCACTAAACTAGCAGTAGTGCCCGGCGTTGCCCGGGAATGTAACAGTAAGAGATAGATCAAGTATCGACCATCATAAAGACTGAAAAATAAAATTGACAAAGATTATTGTTTAAGGTTGACGGACACGCATGTCTTAATTAGTTTTTTTTTTTTTACGGATTGGTCAAACTCAAACAAAAACATTGTTTTCAATCGTTATGAGTCTACCGATTGAATAGAATTTTATTACAAACAATTGTCTTGTAAATGGAATTTTTAAAGCATTCTGAATGTAAAAATAAAGAAAAAAGTGTGCAAGACAATAAGAAACACTACCTGCCAAAAAAAGTGAAGTTTTGTTGAAATCGGTTGAAAAATGTAGGAAATCCGATCCCATATATAAACACACACACACACACACACACACACACACACACACACACACACACAAACTGGGTTTTATAATAATAAGTATAACTCGATATGAGTTGTCCCCCTTTCATTCATATCAGCGATGCCTCTTAATCATGTTTTCAAATTGATTTCATGCAAAAACAATTGTGTTTTTCCAATTTTTGGCGCTGTCAGAACCACCGCAAGGTAATTTTACGTAGTCCTGTGAAGTTTTGTTGAAATCGGTTGAAAAATGTAGGAAATGCGATCCAATATATAAACGAACAGACACACACAACCTGGGTTTTATAATAAGTATGATTTGACACGCCAGATGATTAAACAAAAAATAGGAAAATATGAACAGTAGAAAAACAAAAACGGAGGGAATTTTTTTCGTATATTACTATTAGTTCCAAATGTTTCAATATGTTTTTCATAGTTAAAATAGTCTGCATGTAAATAATGTAGATAACGATAACACTACATCACAGAAGTTCAGACGGAAAAGTAATCGAATAAATAAAAAATTTAATCGACAGTCAAGTAAAATCCCAGAAAAATGTCGGCTGTCAGAACCAAGACATCTGCAACTACAGTATCTTTCTAACTACTAAATATTTCTATATTGATTGATCGATTAAGTTGTTATACTGCTATAAATAATTTAGAAGCAACTGATAACTGCGTGATTAGATTAAAATGCTCGGCTGAGATGAGGAATTGCGACTTAATTTATACACCTTTGCAGAACAAACACAATCTGTAGGTAGATTCTTTTCATGTTAAAATGAACAAAACAAACCTGTAGGTAGATTCTTTTCATGTTAAAAAAATAATAAAAAGAAAGAAAAAAAATAATACGCCGTCAGTAGTAAACATTTTTCGAGGTTTTATACGAAGATAACCGAAGTGTTTAGAGTGAAATCATGAAATTAGGAAAGGTAAAGTAATTTGTAATAGTTTTTACTCCACAACAAATGTTTATCATTCATATTAAGTAGTAATTACATATTTTAATATACAGATTAATTATTTTGGATATAGAAACAGTGTTTATTGAAGTTCTAAAGAATTTTATCGTTTATCCGTTATGAATTTTCTCAGAAATTTTTAAAGTGAAAATTATGTATGTGCACATTAGGTTATCGCGAATCTTACAAGTATAAGAATTTTAAAAGAGGAAAATCACTTTGTAACTAAAAGGAAAACGGTGTCGATACTGACAGATAGATAGATATTAGGTTGGTTCAAAAATAATGTCGTTTTTTGACGTTAAGTTGAACGTCAAAAAACGACATTTTTTGCACCAACCTAATAGATAGATAGATAGATTGTTGCAGGTATGGAAAGTATTATCATTTTATACCTCCTGGTGTATTTGTCCTACAAACAATATTTGGCGGACTCATGTGAGTCTAAGTAAAAAAAAAGTGATACAACATATGGAATTCAAACAAACGGCAGTTAATAAATGTATTAACAAGACATGTTATAGAAGGATAAAGAAAGAAACAAAGTTTAAGTTACGGACAGTCAATACAATCTTCAGTCTGTATCTCTAAAGTACTTACATGCCTCATGGTTATCGGAGCGAAAAGAAACATGTCTTGCCGCTCCGAAAGTCAAAGAGAAAAGAGGAAGAGGTCTTCAAATATCGTACCGCCTGTGATTATCGTTAGGGTGGGGGTGTAACCAATCAAGGTAGATAGATACATAAATCCGTTTAATAAAGAAAAGAAAAGATATCGAACGCAAATATGATTTTGCTATTGTTTTGAAATATTTGTTTTAAGGAAGGTAGTGAATATAGATACGAGAATTATTTTGAAGACAATAATAAAACAAAGATTGAATAATAAATAAAACGAATTTAATTCATAGATTTGTCGACACAATACGGCCACGGGAAAAAAAGATAGTAAAACATCAAAAATGGAGTAATTTAGATTTGGCGAAAACTTTTATGACATCAAGCGAACAAAGAAAATCTGATTGTAGGTGATATGAATGTGTCAAAATTATCTATTAACATTGTAAAAACTGAGATGATAGCGGAGGTGAACGTTAATGAAGAGTCAAAAAGAGAAAAAAATAAATGTTTGTGAAATAATTATTTAGCATAACAAAAAACAAAAGAATTAGGTTAATGATGTCGGTACAATTAGGTAGAATTATTATATAAGTGACTGTCAGTAACTGATAGAGAAAAATATAAGATACGTGCTGAGGTTTTCAGTATCGTGTCAACTCTCTCCGAAAAGACTCCGGAAGTAAATAAAAGTAGATTAATTACTGTTAATAGTTGTTAGGTATACTTAGATTGGTTAACATATGGTGAGTTCTTTCGTCGATTTCGACATATGAGAGCCCAATATTCCAGTTTTAGAATTGAACATCTAGACTAATCATAACGATGATTTGATTATAGTGGTGAAGAATTGTGTAGAAGCCTTCACACTTTTCAGAAGAACTGATAATAGAGAAATGGTGCTGTGTGCCATGAAGTCTCCAAAACAGACCTCCTTATATTTAAATTCAGAGTTTACCTTCTAGACTGGTTGCCACCCAAGGCAAAAGTGCCCAGTCTACCTTTCTGGCTAAGCGTTAAACCACATCGAAGTGCCCTTGTAATATATATGTCATTGTGTCACTATTTTTGGGCCTCGGAGGAAAATTAAACATTCAATCTGTTCTTGCAGTCACTTGTACACTGCAACTGTTTAATGACGTCATAAATGCTCTGAAGTACTCTCTTTCATTTTGTTCCATTGTTCTTGGCACCAGATTGAGGACCCTCCAAGTTTTCACGCACGACAGATATCCCAGCGTTTGTAATTAGTTTCGTAGATGCAACGTGATAATACCAGGTGGAACCACACTCAGAAAAAATTATACTCGTATATACTTATATCACTAGAGCATGGTTTCCTTTATTTATCCAGTGATAAACTCCGCAGCAGTTTCCAGTTGTGTTTCAATCTGGTTTCGTAACACTTGGGTATTTCCTTATTAATTCACCACAGTGGAAAACGAACAGCGACACCAATTTAATTGATTTAAAATTTACTTACATTTAAATTAACCTTCTTTTCTATAATATTGTCTTATATAAATTTATTTTTGCAGTCTATAGTTGAGCCAAAATGTTTCAGAAAAATCAACACCAAATAAAGGATTAAAGACATCAGCAACCTCAAAAGTTCACTGCAAAGATCTTTTTAAACAATGAATTTTAATCTCCAAATTCGCTCGTCATTGACATTTTATGTTCTTACAACTGGTGGATAAGAGTCATGTAGGAATTGGGAGGAAAACAATTTCGTTCACTAGATAAATTGATAATAGAGATATACTCGGACCAGTTTCAATAACATAATTCAGTTTCCAGAAGTGACAGATCTGCTGGCGCTAATGCAATCCATTCAATTAGTTTTTCGCGTCACTGGAATCAGGATCGATGATCAGTAATTGATAAGCACTGGAAGGTTATTTCACCAAAGTTTAACGTTCTTGTTTTGTCGGTGTAAAAATGCGAGGTCTGCATATTTAAAGTCTTTATTTTCTTTTTACAGTATGGTTAGAATACTTTCTGTTATCGAGGGTGTGTATTTTTACAATATCTTTTGTGAGTGCAACAGTATTTGTTGTTTTACAGCGAAAGGTTGTGGAATTTATTCAATAAAGTAATTAGCTCATTTGCTACTTTGCATAAAAACAAACAATTTTCTCCAACTGAAAATGTTGACAAATGTGCAATAGATAATATAAATGCTCAAATATGCGAATTGATATATCATCATCGTCACTCTCATGACCGGGTGTGGTCATAGGGTCGCTGCACAGCTAAGAATCTTACCAGTTACTCCCACATATCTGGGTTGAAATCCTGAGAGGTAGTCATTCATGTCTTGGGCAAGTAGACCTGACGAAGCCTATTCCTCTCTAGGTCAAAGTACAGCCGATGTTCTCCAGCTTGAAAGGTCATGAACATGTGTCCGTTGATTTTATTGGGGAACCCCGTCCTTGTTGCAGGAAGCCCTCCGTCCAGCAATACAGTGTCATCACTGTAACAACTGCATACGTAGGAATTGAATTCAGTCTATCTCCACCTCCCCCTTGTTCTATATAACGATTGATTCTACAAGAAGGTTCTTCCGCCCTTTGACAGGTTTTGTTTTTATTTTTGCTGGGGGTATATCCTCTCTCTTCACCAGAAAAAAACCCCCCAAAAAACAACAAAAAACTGGTAGAGGAATCGGTTTAGCAGCCGATGATCTGATCATGCGGCAGGTAGTATTAGGTTACATAATACCAGTAGCAGTGACATAAACATAATATTCTAGATTACCTAAAAACGAAGAAGTGCATATTGAAAAGGTGAAGATATTATGAAGGGCCAAACAAATGCCTATTCAAAATAAGGTGTAATGGATTTTTTTTTATTGTAAACACGTTATATTAATAAAAGATAGCACGGGAGATATGAAGAAACCTGGCTATATTCATTTCAATGATAATACTTGAGCTAGCATATTGAACACTTAATACCCATAAATATCAAGCCTTTTTTTCTATCCACCTTTTTCTACGGAATACAAAAGACAAAATAAAGAAAAAAGTAAAGAATCCCAAATCTGCAAACGGATGAATGTGAAAATTCATACGTGCTAGAACGTTTATGTTTCTGAGGCAAATGCCAAGTTATTGTTCGTGTGCCGGTAAAAAATTGCCGAAACCCGAAACTTACAACAACAGTAAAAAAAAAAAAAAAAAAAAATGATACTTAAAGTTCAAAGGTCACTGGTAAAATATTTCCTTCCATGACAAATCTAAACATTCCAAAGCCTATAAGAACGTCAGTTTAGAGAAAGTGTTGCATAGATGTTTTTTTCATGTGTAAAGTGTGGAGAGCTGTATGGGATTTATGTGATGAATGGTCTAAAGCATTTAGAGATTTCGGTCGGCCCTCTTGGAATTTTCCATGACCTGAACTGGAAGTATTTACGCTCATAACTTGACACGAATATTGCTATTTTGATCTTATATCTATTCTCTATCATTTATTAAAGACTGTGATCCCAACAATCCGGAATTTGACAATTATTTGACTGACCACTGGAAAAAAAAATCTGTCTTGTTTTCTATTCTATTTTTTTCTGAGTTTGTGATAACGGGTTGGTTTGTTTAAAACGTCACATTTCTCCCTCCAGCCTTGCCCAATTCAACATGAGCCACAGATTATACACTGATTTATCTGAACTGTGGTTTTCATTTTGGTTGTTATAGTTACAAAATCTCAGCTGTTGCATCTTTCAATCTTCTTCAGGTTTCTTTCATATTCGGCAGCATTGTAGGAATTTCGAACAGACATGCGGCTGAAGAAGGTCGCAGAATACAATAACCGAAACTTTGTTTATAATGACGCGTTCGGGCTGAATAGAGCGCCAAGAAGACTTGGCAACGATTGACAAATAGAGTTAAATGCCAGATTTAATGGTACAGAATCAAAAGGAAACGCGAGAGAAGGTTTGAATGAATTTAAATTCGACTGGAATTAAATTTGGTAAAAGAACTAATTAGCAATGTTAATTAGTTTCGAGAAATTAGATGGTTTGTGGAGTTCTTAAGGAATCGAACGTGAATATTAATTTGGAGATAATTTAGTAAGTTAATATAATTGAATACGGTTCTGTATCCAACCGCTATACTCGCCAAGACGATAAATTACTTCCTCATCCCAAATATTAAAAAAATCTCTAAAACTCCTTGAGAATAAGTTATTTACATAAAGACCTATACTTAGGATCGCTGTGATTTCTTAGACAAAAAACGGGAAAAGGGCTTTCTAAATAAATACATAAATAAAAATAAAACAAATT